TACCTCATGTATTCTAACAATCTCTTGATCAGATATATGACTTGCCAATATTTTTTCCCATTCTATGGACTGAATTTTCATTCTGTTGATAATATTCTTTGATGTATAAACACTTTAAATTCTGATAATGTCTAATGTATTTTGTTGCTTGTGTCTTTGGTGTTATCTTCAAGAAATCATTGCCAAATGCAATGTTATGAAGCTTTTTTCCCTGGCCTCCTCCCATGTTTTCTTCTAAGAGTTTTGTCATTTCAGATTTTGTCATTTGTATAGGCCTTTGATCTGTTTTGAGCTAATTTTTGTATATGGTGTAAGTCAAGGGTCCACCTTACTTTTTACAACACTATTTGTTGAAAACACTGTTTCGTCCTTTGAATGGTCTTGGTACCCCGTTGAAGATCATTTGTTTACATATGTGAAAGTTTATTTCTAGGCTCTCTACTCAATTCCATTGGTATTTATGTCAGTACCATACTGTTTTTATTACCATAGTTTTTTAGTATGTTTTGAAATCAGGAAGTGTGAGACCTCCAAATTTTTTCTTTTCCTTCCTTCTTCCTTCCCTCCCTCCCTCCTTCCCTCCTTCCTCCCTTTCCTAGTGCTGGGGATGAAACACAGGGCCTCAAGTAAGCTAAGTTCTAAGCTACTTCTAAGCTGTACCCCCAGGCCCTGTTCTTTTTCCAAGATAATTTTGATTAGCTGGAAGTTTCTTGGGATTCCATATATATTTTTTCATTTCTGCCAAAAATACCACTGGGCTTTAGGCATTGCACTGAATCTGTAGAGCGCTTTGTGTTATTGGCATTTTAACAATGTTGAGTCTTTAATCCATGAACACATGATGCCTTTCCATTTATTTGTGTTTTTAAAAATTTCTTTCAGCAGTTTTCAGTATACTAATGTTTTGCCTCCTTGGCTATGTTTATTCCTAAGTATTTTGTTTTTTTGGATGATGTTGTTACCTGGAATTCTTTTTTTAGTTTCGTTTTCAGATTGTTCATAGTTAGTGAAATGTTCATAGTTTCAGAAATGAAACTGATTTTTAAGTGTTAATTTTGTATCTTGTAACTGTTGAATTCATTTATTCTAAATTTG